GTTTAGGATTTTCCTCGGAATATACTACTACTATACTACTACTACTACTACTACTACTGCTACTGCTACTGCTACTGCTACTGCTACTGCTACTAGAGGTATAAACGTCTTTGATCAGTTACTTAAATGAAACAGGAACTACGTGTAGTAGTTGTGGGAGGAAGTGGTGAGAAGCACTTGATGTTGGAATACAAGTGTTGTTGTTGAGAACCACTTTATGCTGGAGTACAAGTGTTGTTGTTGGGAACCACTTTATGCTGGAGTACAAGCGTTGTTGTTGAGAACCACTTTATGCTGGAGTACAAGTGTTGTTGTTGAGAACCACTTTATGCTGGAGTACAAGTGTTGTTGTTGAGAACCACTTTATGCTGGAGTACAAGTGTTGTTGGGAACCACTTTATGCTGGAGTACAAGTGTTGTTGTTGAGAACCACTTTATGCTGGAGTACAAGTGTTGTTGTTGAGAACCACTTTATGCTGGAGTACAAGTGTTGTTGTTGAGAACCACTTTATGCTGGAGTACAAATGTTGGTGGTGATGGTGAGAAGCACGTGATGCTGGAGTACAAGTGTTGTTGGTGGTGATGGAGCTGATCAATATTTGTATCTGCGGGCGTGAAGGTATGTATGGGATAAGGATGGATTGGGGCTGAGTGGAGGGAGAGATGGGAGAGTGACAGTTGTTGGTAGGTAGGGAGGGAGGGAACATTCGGGGAACTAATGGGGCCGGGGGATTGGAGGGAGGGAGTGGCGGGTAAGAGATGAAGGAAAGCGAGGGAGAGGTGAGTCAGGAATAAAGGAATAGGTGGGAGAGGCGGATGAAGGATGGAGAAATAGGTGGAAGAGTAAACATCATTTTCCATAATTAGAACAGTTTATACACGAAATAAAAAAAAAAGTCTATCGAAGGACGCTGCTATGAGGTATTGTTTTATTTCAAAAATTTGCTGGGGAAAATAACCGATGGTTATCACATGACCACAGCTTCACGGAGCGTGTCATCACATGACCACAGCTCCACGGAGCGTGTCATCACGTGACCACAGCTCCACGGAGCGTGTCATCACATGACCACAGCTCCACGGAGCGTGTCATCACATGACCACAGCTCCACGGAGCGTGTCATCACATGACCACAGCTCCACGGAGCGTGTCATCACGTGACCACGGCTCCACGGAGTGTTATCACGTGACCAAAGCTCCACGGATTTTTTTTTTTTTTAGATTTTGCCACCGAAGTGGCTAGTTTATTGTGCACCCCATATCCACCCTGTGGACGGTAGCGCGAGAGCATATGGATACACAAAAGGCCTAGGAACTAGGCCCCAAAGGGTTAACAGAAATACATATGGATTTATATCTACATATCTATAGTTCACTTATCTGTTACAAGCAAATTTAGGAAATTTGCTTAGTATATCTGGTATCTTATTTTCATTAATAAGATATCTTGACATGTCACATAGGTTATTATACTGTCTGTCTCTGTATTCCTCAATAAGTGGACAATTAAGCACATAGTGTTCAAGAGAGTGACCATATGCCTGATCACATAATTTACATTTAGTTTGATCATCATCTGTGTGTCTCCCAAACTGCCAGAAGTACTTGTAACCAAGCCTAAGCCTGGCCACTACAACATCAGTCAGTCTGTTCACATTGCAAGTTGCTCCATAAACATACTTATCTACGTTCATGTTATCATAGTGGGTTATAGATCTACTCAGGCTTCTAACTGCATTCCTATAACAATCATTTTCATTATTTACTTCTCTCCTAATATTATTCCTAATGCTAGACACAGTTATACCAAGTTATATTCTACATTCTCCTTCTCGATACTCTTCTTGGCTAACATATCAACTTTATCATGAAGGAGTAATCCAATGTGTGATGGGATCCATAGCAATTGTACATTAATTCCTTTGTCCCTAATTTTTGAGTATCTATACCTGGCTTCCCCAATGAGCATGTTGTTGGAGTCATTATATGAGTCAAGAGCCTTCAGTGATGACATAGAATCAGTAATGATGATAGAGTCAAGCTCAGTGTCATAGGTTAGCTTTAGCGCCATTAGGATTGCAAACAATTCAGTTTGCAGTGTAGACGCCCAGTTGTTAATTCTTATGCCTAACTCAACAAATTTATTATCGTTCTTAACTAGGGAGGTGGCAACAAGAGCAGATGCAGCCCTGCCAGAAGACTCCTGTTTAGATCCATCAGTGTATATAACTTGTGATAACTTGTTACTACCAGCTAGGTGAGAAATTTCTTCTTGAGCAGTTGCTCTAACAAGAGATTTAAGGAAGGGATTACTAGCAATGAGCTTCTTGGGAGGGACTTGTAGGTATGTGATATTAAATGAACACATCTTCCATGGAGGGGTGAAATGCTCTTGTTGCCTACAGTGATACAGTTCATGTAGGTTATAAAACTTAATGCAATTCCACGGAGCGTGTTATCACGTGACCACAGCTCCACGGAGCGTGTCATCACATGACCACAGCTCCACAGAGCGTGTCATCACGTGACCACAGCTCCATGGAGTGTCATCACACGACCACAGCTCCACCGAGCGTGTCATCACATGACCACAGCTCCACGGATCGTGTCATCACGTATGGTTTGTTTGCAATCGTGTCATTACGATTTCGTGAGTCATATTTCATTTTGTTTATTATTAAATTATTGTAAACTTATCTAAAATATATTTAGTTGGTTTAGGCTAAATTAAATTGCGCTTGTTATAATAAGGTTAGGTAAGTTTTCTGAGGTTCTTTTGGTACAAAATTATTAATTTTTACATTAACATAAATTAAAAAAATATATCTTTAAACGTATAAGTGAAAATTTTAGAATGGTCGTAATTTTAAACGAGTTCTTGCTAATTGACCAGTTTTACCTATTCGGCAGGAGAGAGACGCGCGCGCGCCACACACACACACACACACACACACACACACACACACACACACACACACACACACACACACACACACACACACACACACACACACACACACACACACACACGCACATACATATGTATATGCGTACGCACGTACGCATATACAACAGGCCTAGTGTCTAATCGACATGTGCCTAGGACAAAATGGTAATTAACGTGACCACAGCTCCACGGAGTGTTATCACGTGACCACAGCTCCACGGAGTGTTATCACGTGACCACAGCTCCACGGAGTGTTATCACGTGACCACAGCTCCACGGAGCGTGTTATCACGTGACCACAGCTCCACGGAGTGGGGCATCGTATCACTAAGATCCGTGTCTGCATTTTTTTTCACAACTCTCCTGACAAATGAACTACCACCAAAGAAAGTATATTCTAGGAGCATTTTTAGACAGTAACTGTTATTTTTATGTGCTTGTGTTAAACCTGAGTTTACTCTTTCAAAGACGGGAAGACCGTAATTAGGTATATCAGGAAGAATACGATACTGTGTTAGGGTTCAAGGCTTATAGTCAGCACGGGTTTATAAATTCTTAATTCATCTGTAAATTAACACCAGGAAGACTATTCAGTATCAGGTCATTTTCTAGGATGTGACCCTCAACCGTCGACAAACACCCGAACACCTATTTACTACTGTCATGAATTTGAGTCGAGGATATAGAAACACTCGCACCCAGGTACTTAATCCTAGGTGAACCGGAGCTGGGGCTCTAAGGTTTCTTGCCCATACATCTTCCCTGTGATTCTTATACACACTCTTGTTCGTTTCCCTGAGCACAAAGGAACTATACATGCTCTGCCAATCCTAGGCAACTTTTTATTTCATAAACATATTGAACAAACTCACCAACCATTCCAGCACTGGATCTCCACCTGCTCTCAACATTCAGTCGTAATCCCAACCACACAGGATAGGTTTATATCATATTCCTTCAAACAGAATGAGGCCCTGTGTCATATTCCATCACACGGGATGAGATTCATGTCATACACCATCACACAGGATGGATTTCCTTTTATATTCCGTCACACGGGATGAGGTCTCTCATAATCCATCACACAGGATAGGTGCCATACATACGGTAATCAAATATGTTCGCTTTATCTGAGAGACTTAAGTAGGGAGGGCGATGAAGATATCAAGCGTCCGACTGTTCGTATATTCTAAGTTATTCTTTATATATATATATATATTATATATATATATATATATATATATAATATATAATATAAAATATATTTTATATATATATATATATATTAATATATATATATAAAATGTCGTGCCGAATAGGCAGAATTTGCGATCTTGGCTTAAATAGCAATACTCATCTTGCTATATAGGACAAGCGAAAATTTGTGTATGCAATAATTTCTCAAAAATCATTCTAAACCTAACGAAAAAAATATATTTCATTGTGTTTGCTTGGTATTAAATTGCTGTAAAAGTATTTAAAATATATTTAGTAGGATTAGGCTAAAATAAATTGCGCTTGTTATAATAAGGTTAGGCAAGTTTTCTAAGATTCTTTTGGTGCAAAATTAAAAATTTTTACATTAACATTAATGAAAAAATATATCTTTAATCGTATAAGAGAAAATTTCAGAAAGGACTTAATTTTAAATGAGTTCTTGCTAATTGACCGAATAGGTAAACCTTACCATTTTGGCTTAAATGGCAACGCTCTTCTTGCCGAATAAGGTAAGTGGAAAATTGTGTGTGCAGTAATTTCGTAAGCATCTCTGAAATTAACGAAAGAAATACATTTCATTGTGTTTGTATATTATTAAATTATTGTAAACTTATCTAAATTATATTGGATTAGGCTAAATTAAATTGCGCTTATTATAATAAGGTTAATTAAGTTTTCTAAGGTTCTTTTGGTACAAAATTATTAAGTTTTACATTAATGTAAAAATTAAGAATAGTGATAGTGTTGTAAAGTTCTGTGTTGTGGATCTGATGGTGAGTGAATGTAGATGACCTGTGGCTAGTGTTAGGGAACACTAATATTTATTGTCTACAGGTGGGCGTGGGAGAAATGGCGTGTGGGCTGAGTGGTGGTGGTGGTGTGCGAGGCCCTGGTCGCTGCCCCGTAGCTGCACCCCCCTCTCTTTCTCCTGGCCACTGTCCTCGCCCTTATTTCCCTCCTCTTCCTCCTCAACGCTAAGGGTGAGTGGAAGAAGAAGAAGCAACAACTAAAAGTTTAATCGTATAAACTCGGTTTTTGGGAGATATCATAAGGCCCTGTTCCTCCCAAGGATTCCATCCACAGCAGCCGACTAACATCTAGGTCAAGTTTTGCAGGGTTAGGGCCCAACTTTTACGTGTACATGGATTTCTGGTGTTGCAAGCATTCAATATGTATACTCCTCTGTACCCTTCACGACCTTACACTTTGAGTTTTCGATTGTGGAAGACCTCTATCGTAGCCCTGTTGCAGTCGCACCAGTCACACTTACGGCTGTGGGAAAAGACACTAGGTACAGTTCAGAACATTTATTAGAGGAAACGTTTCGCCACGACTGAGGAAGCCACTCTTAGCGAAACGTTTCCTCCCAATAATGTCCTGAACTGTCCATAAGTATCTTTTTCCATACCTTGTCAGTGTCACCATACCATTTTACACTTATGGTTACCTCATGGGGACGCCCAGCCTGCTCTGCTTTGTGAGGGATGAAGTCACATTTACTGTCCAGCATATTTTGAAAGGACCTGCTTTGTATGGGCCAGTAGGCCTTCTGCAGTGTTCCTCCATTCCTATGTTAGAAAGCTCTCTTTATTTGAGAAATCATACAAGTTTTAATTAGTAAATAAATGTTGTTCAGGAGTCTACAAACATTTTAGACAAAAATTGGTAAAATAATTCAGAGGACTCAGAGATGATTTAGGCGTACAACAACGTTATATTATGAAGATTTAACCAGTAGGGCATATTAGACATACCCCAAACGGGAAAACAGTAGTGGTTGTCGGATTTTTTCCTCTTAGGTTTTAGTTTATAACTTCAGAATGCTTGGTCCGATCGGCTTCTGTATCAGGGTATATGTTCATGTTGTTTCTCCAAGGTTACTGTGTAGTAACTTGAATAACTTTCAACTCTCAGCATTGGTGTATCTTAGAGGAAGGTTTGGATTTTTATTGAATTGTGTAGGTGAATTTTTTACAGTTTTACACATGATTCTTGGATCAGTCACCAACATCAAGGAGCTATCCTTCAGAGATAATAGAATGAGCAAATAAGCTGTTCTTGACATAAAATAATTTTTTGTGAGATATTACCTATTGAGCTGGGGAAGCACTAAACCCGTAAGGGAACGGGAGTAAATCACGTTCTAATCCAAGGAAGAGGACAGGTTCATTTCCCTAGATCAAGAGCCCCTCACTGGCACCAAACTTGGTCATCTGACCTGTCTCTCCCCAACTCCTATCGTATGCAGGTTAGGTAAGGTTCGTCAGGAAACAGGACAAATGTTTCCTGACGCGGGTCTTAGTCAGATGATGACCCGCCTTTGGAGCTTTTGGTCATCTGACCGAGGCCTTCCGCTGGCTTACCGGTCCACCCCTTTAAAAATTATGGTCATGTAGAACCATTTTTGTTCTACTACCATGCTCTTATGCAGGTGGAAAGCGCACGATTATATAACAGGCAGTGTTTGTTTGGTGCAGAAAAATGTCATATATCTAGCTAGACTCACGGCGTCATTGGTAGGCTATATAAAACATTTTGCACTATGTTATGACTCGAGTTAACACATGCGTATAATAATGTGAATTGATAAATTAGCTCTTAAGAAGATATGACTAAAATTCTTTTCAATTGTGTCCTAGGATGGTGGGTAGTAGCATTTGTTTTTTTTTATATTAAGCTCAGCGTGATTGATTTGTGGTATATTTGTAAGGTGTCAAACACTTTTCCATAACAGTTAATAAAGTATCAGCCAGTTTTCTGTAGTTAATGTACTGCGTTAGTAATAATTTGTATATTGTGCTGGTGCAGCGCTGAGCCGGCATGCCAGCCCACGGCAAGTATTGGAACTAGAGGACCACGACCTAGAAGGAGCGCCTCAGCATCACCCAGACCTGGTCACCTACATCAGACAGCTCCATCTTGTGCACCCCGCCACCGCTCCTTACAACCTCAATAATCCCAATACCACAGACTTCTCACAGAATGGCCAAAGTAAGGTGGTAGCCAAGATCCTCAGAGGCAAGGTGAGTAAGGTGGTCCAGGGGTGAGTATATGCTAAAATGCTGATATATATATATATATATATATATATATATATATATATATATATATATATATATATATATATATATATATATATATATATATATATATATATTTCCAACAAGTCGGCCGTCTCCCACCGAGGCAGGATGACCAAAAAAAAAAAAAAGAAAATCCCCAAAAAGAAAATACTTTCATCATTCAACACTTTCACCACACTCACACATTATCACTGTTTTTGCAGAGGTGCTCAGAATACAACAGTTTAGAAGCATACACATATAAAGATACACAACATGTCCCTCCAAACTGCCAATATCCCAAACCCCTCCTTTAAAGTACAGGCATTGTACTTCCCATTTCCAGGACTCAAGTCCGACTATATGAAAACCGGTTTCCCTGAATCCCTTCACTAAATATTAACCTGCTCACACTCCAACAGATCGTCAGGTCCCAAGTACCATTCGTCTCCATTCACTCCTAACACGCTCACGCACGCTTGCTGGAAGTCCAAGCCCCTTGCCCACAAAACCTCCTTTACCCCCTCTCTCTCCAACCCTTTCGAGGACGACCCCTACCCCTCCTTCCTTCCCCTATAGATTTATATGCTTTCCATGTCCTTCTACTTTGATCCATTCTCTCTAAATGACCAAACCACCTCAACAACCCCTCTTCTGCCCTCTGACTAATACTTTTATTAACTCCACACCTTTTCCTAATTTCCACAATCCGAATTTTCTGCATAATATTTACACCACACATTGCCCTTAAACAGGACATCTCCACTGCCTCCAACCGTCTCCTCGCTGCTGCATTTACCACCCAAGCTTCACACCCATATAAGAGTGTTGGTACTACTATCTTTGCCTCCATAGATAACGTTTTTTGACTCCACATATACCTCAACGCACCACTCGCCTTTTTTCCCTCATCAATTCTATGATTAACCTCATCCTTCATAAATCCATCCGCCGACACGTCAACTCCCAAGTATCTGAAAACATTCACTTCTTCCATACTCCTCCACAATTTGATATCCAATTTTTCTTTATCTAAATCATTTGATACCCTCATCACCTTACTCTTTTCTATGTTCACTTTCAACTTTCTACCTTTACACACATTCCCAAACTCATCCACTAACCTTTGCAATTTTTCTTTAGAGTCTCCCATAAGCACAGTATCATCAGCAAAAAGTAACTGTGTCAATTCCCATTTTGAATTTGATTCCCCAAAATTTAATCCCACCCCTCTCCCGAACACCCTAGCATTTACTTCCTTTACAACCCCATCTATAAATATATTAAACAACCATGGTGACATTACACATCCCTGTCTAAGACCTACTTTTACCGGGAAGTAGTCTCCCTCTCTTCTACACACCCTAACCTGAGCCTCACTATCCTCATAAAAACTCTTTACAGAATTTAATAACTTACCACCTATTCCATATACTTGCTACATCTGCCACATTGCTCCTCTATCCACTCTATCATATGCCTTTTCTAAATCCATAAATGCAATAAAAACTTCCCTACCTTTATCTAAATACTGTTCACATATATGCTTCAATGTAAACACTTGATCTACACATCCCCTACCCACTCTGAAACCTCCTTGCTCATCCGCAATCCTACATTCTGTCTTACCTCTAATTCTTTCAATTATAACCCTACCGTACACTTTTCCTGGTATACTCAGTAAACTTATTCCTCTATAATTGTTACAATCTCTTTTGTCCCCTTTCCCTTTATATAAAGGGACTATACATGCTCTCAGCCAATCCCTAGGTATCTTCCCCTCTTTCATACATTTATTAAACAAAAGTACCAACCACTCCAACGCTATATCCCCCCCTGCTTTTAACATTTCTGTCATGATCCCACCAGTTCCAGCTGCTTTACCCCCTTTCATTCTACGTAATGCCTCACGTACCTCCACCACACTTACATTCTGGTCTTCTTCACTCCTAAAAGATGGTATACCTCCCTGACCAGTGCATGAAATTACTGCCTGTATATATATATATATATATAATATATATATATATATATATATATATATAATGTCGTGCCGAATAGGCAGAATTTGCGATCTTGGCTTAAATAGCAATACTCATCTTGCTATATAGGACAAGCGGAAATTTGTGTATGCAATAATTTAGCAAAACCCATTCTAAACCTAACGAAAAAATACATTTCATTGTGTTTGTTAATTACTAAATTACTGTAAACTTATGTAAAATATATTTAGTTCGATTCGGCTAAATTAAATTGCGTTTGTTATAATAAGGTTAGGTAAGTTTTCTAATTTTTTATGGTACAAAATTATTAACTTGTAAATTAACATAAATTAAAAATATATATCTTTAAACGTATAAGAGAAAATTTTAGAAAGGACTTAATTTTAAAGGAGTTCTTGCTAATTGACTAGTTTTTATATATTCGGCCCTCAAGGAAGGCCCTTGATGTTGGTGAGGGGCCTTGATTTAGGGAATGGATCTGTGCTCACAGTTCCCGAATTAAGCCTGAATGCCTTCACATCCCCCCCGGCGCTGTATAATCTTCGGTTTAGCGCTTCCCCCTTGATTATAAGAATAATTATAATTCGGCATGAGACACACACACACACCACACGTACCACAAATATACATCACAACCTGCGATAGCCAAGACTCGAACCCATGCTGCTTTGGCTGCTCATGGTGGGCGAACTCATGACGCCTTAATCCATGGACCAACAATCCTTAAGAGAGCGCATCCACGGAATGGTGTTGTATTCCTACCAAGGACATACGATGGTGTGGATGACTCAGGCTAATTTCATTTAGTCCTGTTGGTGTACTAGTAAAACGAGCATTATTTTATATTATTGTGCCCATGAACGAGTGGTATTGATCAATAACAACACTGCGACTAGTTCCAGTTCCGCTGGATGCGCTACTCTTAAAAGGATTGTATGGTCCAGTGAATTAAGGCGTCATGAGTTTTCGCCCACCATGAGGCAGGCCAAAGCAGCATGGATTAGTCCTTGGCTAGTCGCAGTGTTGTTAGTGATCAATACCACTCGTTCGTGGGCACAATAAAAAAAAAAGAATATATATATATATATATATATATATATATATATATATATATATAATCTCATTATCAAGGAACAATGTTCCTTGATAATGTGAGTAGTCACGAAAGCGCTTGGAATTTATATTCTTTCACAGTGGTTGTTTTGCATATATATATATATATATATATATATATATATATATATATAAAATTCTCCACAATCCCTTTCTGAACAAATTCAGTTTTTATGTCAAGAAATACGAAAGTGAAGTTTTCTGCATATGATAGCAGGAATAATAGCTTTTACACAGCTTCACTATTTTCGAAGCTTTTGCAAGTTCACCATGTATATTTCAGGTAGTTAGTAGCACAAGTCGATACCCCAGTTCATACCACGTATTGACCAACATATCTCGTGTGAGTTTTCCAGTGTCATCATTTATTCTAACATGGGGTGTTATGTCAACCTCTGGTACAGTATCTGGAAAGCACTCCTTCACGGACCCCCCAAAATTAAAAGGTTTAGAGAGTGTTCCTCTCGTCTGCAACTGTTTCCAAACAAGTACTAAGTAAATTTATCAAACTTGAATACCCTTTACAATTGTGTTCCACATGTGTACTTTAATTATACCTCCCTTCATTCTATATCTCTTAAGTAGTACAGTTTCCGGGCTCTCATTTTATATTCGTATCAAATATTCCTCATTCAGACAGCAAATTTTGTCATATGTTAGATGATTAATTACGCTTCAAGCTTTTCGACTGCTCAAAGGATCATTAAGATTCCAATGCTACCTGTTCACCTCCAGTTGATAAAATAATATTTTATGTATTAAAGTAATCTTAGCATTTATATACATTGAGAAACATACACTAGTCTGTGTATATCCTATGCCTCCTCGGTATTTTAATATCTAATGCATTCACTCCATCCTGTAGTATAGGGACCAGAACTGCGCCGCATAATCTGAATGAGGCTTTACTAATGATTTGTAGAATAACATTTTCACTCTCTTGTTTATAGTCCGTGATATAAATCCAGGCGGGTTCTTGACCCAAAGATTTCGACCTACTGTCCCCTTCCTTGGATCAAACTTGATTTCCACCCACTTCCAAGCTCTATATGACCCTTACGGGTTCAACGCTTCTCCGTGAAAATGACAATTTTTTGCTCTACAACAAAAGATCAGCCAGTAGTTTTTCTCCCATGAATTGTTGAGCTGTTTCAAATCTCAGCAGAGTCAAGCCTTTTCTCCACAGTCATATAGCTGGGTATGGAAGAAATCGCTGTAAAACGCGTGACTGCAAATAAACAGGGAATCTGAGAAGCTTTCATGTGTTTACACACGTACGTATCTTCAAAGGAGCAGGAAGGATATGCAAGAGACGCATTTTTAATGTTACTAAGTAGCTGGGTATATTGAACCCAGAGTTGTATACGGTATTGTTCAAGGATACATGCACTGCAAGATGCAAGTCTGTCAGGGTACATATGCTTTGAGTTTGTTTTAGTCTGTACTCTAGGGATTGAAGTATTCTTGACTGGTAGCGAACAGGCAGTGAGCAGCATTAATTACCCTCGTGTGTCGATAGGCCCTAAGCCCACTTAACCAATCAACGGTATTATTACTGTTATATTCATGGGAAAACGCTAAATCCCTGGGTGTCTTACAGAGCCTAGGAAATGGGAATTAATTAGGCTTCATCCAATAAAGGATAGGATAACTCCAGAAGCCTTTCATCAGCATCAAGGCACAGCCTCCCATCCCATCCTTCCCTTGAAGGAAAACAGGTGCATATATGAGTGTATATACACTTGAAGGAGGTGTATATCTGTATATAAGCTAATAGGTGTGTGTATATCTTTATGCACATAGATATACACACCTAAAACTGTATATCTCGGTGTGTGTGTGTTATATATACACTTTAGTGTTTACTTTTATCTCTATTTTAGGTATTTAAAGTATTTACGCTAATGTACAGGTAAATCACAGCCATAATGACCTACCTAACCAACTACCTGTTGTAGCGAGGCGGGTTCTTCGTGGAGGCTGGAGCCTACAACGGTGAGGAGCTCAGCAACACACTGTACCTGGAGCGTGAACTAGGCTGGAAAGGCTTGCTGGTCGAGCCTGACCCATGGAATTTCTGGGCCCTCCGCAAGAGGAGCAGGAAAGCACACTCGATCCATGCCTGCCTCTCACCCAACCCATTCCCTAGAGAAGTGTCTTTCAAGTAAGTAGTATTAGTAACAATAATAGCATTGGTGTATATAGTAGTGATAATAGCAGCAGTAGTAGTTGTGGCAGTAAAAGTAGTAGTTAATATATCAGTTAACTTGGTACATTTCTTATATCTACTTTTCGTGTTTCAACTTTAACAGCTTTTCTTTCATGACTTGTTTTTATGCAGGCATTTCTAAATAGTGTCATATATATTTTTAAACAAGATTCTTTCTTTTTCTCATCATGTTGTGAGTATGAGTGACTTAATGTGGTACCTTTCCTCAGGCAGAGCGACACCATGGGTCACATCGTGAGTAGATCTGAGGAAGGAGGGCGACAGGGCATCTACGCTAGAGTCAAGTGCTTCCCTCTCTACTCACTCCTGCTTGCCCTCAACTCTACACACGTAGATTTCTTGTCCCTGGATGTAGAAGGAGCCGAGCTACAGGTGGGTGGTGCCCAGAGAGCTGTTCTAAGACTGAATGGAGAAGTGTGTATTGCAGCATGCGTGGTAATCATATAGCGTTGATATATGGTGACCATGATAAAACAGGGTGGTGTTATAGACATGCATGGTGACCAGGAGTGTGTCTATAACCACGCAGGTTAATCCTCGTATCTACTTCAGGTATTGAAGACTGTACCTTGGGAGAGCGTGAGCATCGATGTTTTGTGTGTGGAGCATCGCCACGTACCTGAGGGAAGCCAGGCTCTTGCCACCTTCCTGCAGGAGAAAGGCTACAAACTTTTCTCCACCCTTGGTGATGACTTTATCTTTGTCAAGACGAGCCTCTTGGAGCGCCCCAGTGAAGACCTCTTGTAGGGTTTTCTTACCCCCCCCCCAACCTCTCTCTCTTTAATATATATATATATATATATATATATATATATATATATATATATATATATATATATATATATATATAATATATATATATTATATATATATATATAATACATACATTGCCTGCTATAATTCTTCAGCAAAAGTCAAGGTTTGCAGGATGTTCTTATTAATATTCACTTTGTTGTTCTGTTTGATTTAAACTTTTACCTTTACATGAATGTTTCTTTGATCTATAAATCAAATTTTATTTTGATCCCTAAATAAATTAATATGCCTATCAATGAAGTTTTGTTTAAAAGCTGATATTGAAGTGAAAATACCGTATCAGTTTTTATCGACTGCTACAGCTACCCGAAGCAATAATTGCTTCACGAAGCACTGACTTACAACTACATGAAGCACTGCTACAACTAAATAAAACACTGGCTTCTACTGCTACATGAAGGACTTTCTTTTACAGCTACATGAAGCATTGAGTGTTACAATTACATGGAGGACTGATTTCTACAACTTCATGGACTCGCTGCTACTGCTGCATGGTTTAACTGCTACAACTACATGAAGCGCTGATTGTTACAACTACATGAGGCACTGACCGCTACACGAAGCACTGACTGCTACATGAAGCACTGACTGCTACATGAAGCACTGACTGCTACATAAAGCACTGACTGCTACATGAAGCACTGACTGCTACAGATACATAAAGCACTCACTGCTACATAAACACCGCTACATGAAGCACTGACTGCTACAGCTACGTGAAGCACTGCTGCATGACGCATTGCTACATGAAGCACGGACCGCTACTGCTTCATGGAACACTTCTGCAGCTACATGAAGCGCTGCCTGCCACAGCTACATGAAGCGCTACCTGTTGCAGCTACATGAAGCGCTGCCTGCCACAGCTACATGAAGCGCTACCTGTTGCAGCTACATGAAGCGCTGCCTGTTGCAGCTACATGAAGCGCTGCCTGTTGCAGCTACATGAAGCGCTACCTGTTGCAGCTACATGAAGTGCTCCTTTGCACAGCTACATGAAGCACTACCTGTTGCAGCTACATGAAGCGCTGCCTGCCCAGCTACATGAAGCGCTACCTGTTGCAGCTACATGAAGCACTGCCTGTTGCAGCTACATGAAGCGCTGCCTGTTGCAGCTACATGAAGCACTGCCTGCTGCAGCTACATGAAGCGCTACCTGTTGCAGCTACATGAAGCGCTGCCTGTTGCAGCTACATGAAGCGCTGCCTGCTGCAGCTACATGAAGCGCTGCCTGTTGCAGCTGCATGAAGCGCTGCCTGTTGCAGCTACATGAAGCGCTGCCTGTGCAGCTACATGAAGCGCTACCTGTTGCAGCTACATGAAGCACTCCTGTGCAGCTACATGAAGTATGGGTTGCCTTATACATGAAGCCTGACTGCTGCGCTACATGAAGCATTGCTACGCTGCATGAAGCTTGCCTGTTTCAGCTACATGAAGCGTGCGCTGCTGCAACTCATGAAGGTATTTAGATAGACTACTGCCCCATACAATGAAGCATTTATGTGTTGCCGTAAAAAAATGAAGACAATGTCCGCTACTAGAGCTGTACAGCTAATGATACATTTCTGTGCAATGAGCATCATCGCCTACAATTTAGATTTTAGTTAGGGACTACTTGATCAAGTTGATAGAATATATTTGAAATGTATAATTGCCAGGCGACTCCGCTGTTCAAGGTCCTTTCAAGAATTTCTATGGATTCTGTATGTGTGAGGAATTTGTCGTCATGATATGCATATTTGACTTGTAATACGGGTCCTTTGCGCTAACGGTCAATTAAGGATTATTCGTCAAGTATGTCATAATTTTGTTGTAAGATGAGAATACGATCGTATTTACTTAAATGATGAGAGTCGACGTTGCTTAAAGACTCAGCTCTACCAGATAGGCATGTCTAGAAAGCTTATTAGATAGATGTGTCTAGGGCAACTTATCAAATATTCTTGCATAGGGTAATTTATCAGATAGACTTGTCGAGTGGCTTATATCACTGATATGTTTATAAATTCATTATAACGCATAGCTGTATAGCCCTTGTGGCTTAGCGCTTCTTTTTGATTATAATAATAATAATTAAAACGCATAGTACAAGCTAGTAATATATTATTTCAGAAAAAGTCCTGTGATCTTTATTACTTTTATATATAATAAATGTTTCATACTATTTCTTATGTATCTCATTACACTCCAGTAGGATTGGATAGAATCTTGATGACTGTTCTGCATTCCTTCCTCACTAGTCCTCCCTTCAGTGGGTGATGGAGGGAGGGGATTCCTTGATATATATACCTAATTTTAATTTTTCAAGGGGTGGGGCGGTAAACCAGCGGAAGGCCTTGGTCAGATGTCGAAAAGCTCTAGTGGCGGGTCATCATATGACTAAGACCCACGTCAGGAAACACTTGTCCTGTTTCCTGAAGAATCTTAACTAACTCGGCCTTGATGCTGGTGAAGGGCTCTTGGTCCTAGGAATTGTAAGTACCCTCCTTTTCCTCGGATCAAACCTGATTACATTTTATTCCAGGTGCTGTATGATTCCTACGGGTTTAGCAAATAATAATACACTTTAACACTACACCCTTCAAGGGGGCGCCTTGATGCCGGTAAAGGGCTCTTGACCCACTGAATTGGAGTCACCCTTCACATCCTTGAGTCAAACTTGATTGCCTCCCATTCCCATTTTCCCAGGGATGTATGACCGTACTCCTCAAGAGAGATCCCTTGATGCCGAACATGAATACCTTCTACTGCCCCAGACATTATATAATCCTACGAGTTTAGCGCCTATGAATGTAATATATGATCCCTAGGAATTTAGCGCTTACCGTGAGTACATTAATAATAAAAACAGTAGATGTGAACACGTAGTGTACTCTGTATAAAACAAACATTATATAAAATGTTTTATTGTTAGGATAACAAGGCCATAACAATTTACAACTAACAACAAATAAATAGTCGCAAGAAATCAATAAATAAACTCCTGGAAAGGATAACACTATAAATAACATGATAACTTGTCAACACATAGGCTTACACACACACCCAGGTCGACAAGGCTTGGTAGCGACCGTTTGTACAGTTCTGGGGGGGGGGGGTCTGCTCTCGGAGGTGAACACGCACAACCCCAGCAAGAACATTACACCACAATCATTATGTGCTCATTCTTGTGAAGGCGGTTCATTATCTAAACAGATCCCCAACAAATATATATTTACAAATGTGCAGATTGTTAAAAGTATTCCCAGGACAAACACTGTGCTGTCACGCACCTCTCTGCCTCTGTTTTGATTAACCCGAACTTAGACTGAGAGGGGAAGCACCTGAAGCTTATTATTTATGTCTTAGCGAAACTTCATGTGAGTATATTTAGGGTGACTATTCAGTATCCCTGACACTGAATACACTGAGGGGACACTGACTTTACCGACAGTTAATAACGTGTGTCAGGTACGTTCTTGCGAAGAGATAACACAAATATACATAATAAGAGTTGGTTACACATCGACCAAGAAGGTATATCACGCCAGTTTTATATATTACTGATATGTTAGTCAAGGGATTGGCTAAAGGTATTCGGGAAGAGATCCTGCAGTTAAAAAACTCCCTAGGTAAAGTTCTATGAAGTCCTCTCCCGGTAGAGCAAAGTAACACAAGGATGAGTCTTGTTGCCCAATCTTGCAGGGCAAGAGACTTCCTACAGAGGGTTCTCTCATTCATTTCATAACGGTGGCTAGGACAGCAGCGCCTAATACAGAGGTTCTAGAGATGAGGGAGGCCCCTGGAATAAGACTTCTGCAGAGTGCTGTCTTCTCTACTTGCGGGAGCCCAGGGCTACGTCGTTGACGATCTCCAGAGCCTTGGGTCCATCACATCTGCCAAGGAACAGGAAACATTACTACCCGGGTACATGTAGAGGAAAATGGAATCTCGCAAGGAAATTGTGGATAGAAAAACAATATATTACCCTCCCTTTACTTGGATCAAACCTCGGTGTATATATCCAAAAGTTATATACACCGAGAGGTATATGTCTCAGAAGTTCCTTGATGGTGAGAGGCTCGGATCTAAAGAATTGGACTTGTCCTCCCTTTCCCGAAATCGAATCTGATTGCCTCTTATTATCCCAGGCGCTGGGGAAATGAGAATTAACCGTGCACTTAATACACGCAGATTATTACTATTTTAATCTAACCGAATTATATCATGCTCGAAATATCAAATAACTCCTACTCATTTAAATATAAAATATTATACCTTATTTAGTTAAACTTACACTATTTGAACGTAGACGCCAATCATGACCTCATTAACCCCTCAAGGAAGGTGCTTTGATGCCAATGATGGACTTGATCCAAGGATCTGGACTTATGCTCCTCTTTAGATCGAAACTGAATTCCTCCCATTGCCTAGATACTAACCCCACTGGGTTTAGCGCGGCCTTGTGATTACAATAGATAAATATTAATCTTAATTCACGGAAGTTACCCTGTCCTTCCCTTCCTTGGATCGAGTTTGATTGCCTCCCATTCCCCATGAGCTGTATGACCCATACGGGTTTAGCACTTTCCCCATGACTATAAGGTAGGTAAGTATTAGGTTTGTCAGGAAACAGGTTAAGTGTTTCCTGTCGCGGGTCTTTGTCATGTGATGTCCCACAGCTGGAGCTTTTGGTCATCTAACCAAAGTCTTTAGCTGGCTTACCGGTTCCCCATGACTAACATAAATAATAATAAAAGTACCATTATTTAGTTAATTTTAAAATAATATTAATGTAGTACTGACTTAGGGAACATGACGTCACACTGGAGGGTCTCCCAGGCGGTGAGGGAGCGCCATATCTCACCGATGGTATCCATCTGACGGTTCTCACGTTCAATCAGCACCTTCAGACCCACGCTGCAACAATACAAACACATGAAGTTAGTTACAGTGAAGAGCAATCATGAAGAGAATGGTGTTGACTACAAGCCGTCCTCACACCTTGTATAAGTAACATGTTCTTTCTTACGTGTCTAGTTTAAAAAGACATGAGCAAACACGTTTAGAGCCCAGGACCTTGATCACTTCTCACACACAAGAGTGAAGAATGACAGTATATACAGACAAGAGTGAGGTGTGAGATGTAGAGTATAAAACGCTTGTCTACCTAGCCGTCACAACTTACTGTAATGTTCATGTAATTTGCATCTCCTGATGCCGGTGAGGAACTCTTGAAGCAACGAATTTGACATGACCTCTCCTCTGGATCCCCTCAAGGAAGGTTCCTTGATGCTGGTGAGGGGCTCTTGATTTAGGGAATTAGATCTGTGCTCCAGTTCCCCGAATTAAGCCTGAATGCCTTCCACATCCCCCCCCCCAGGCGCTGTATAATCCTCCGGGTTTAGCGCTTCCCCCTTGATTATAATAATAATAATCTCCTCTGGATCGAACCTGAATGCCTCCCATTCCCCAAGAACTTTATGACACCCACAAATTTATCGCTTCGCCGATTAAAATAAATACAAATTTGCTTAGGCTAGGTTAGGTAAGGTTTCTCAGGAAACAGGAACAACAAATTTGTTTCATACGCAAGTAAGTCTCTGCACTCTGTTAAATGTTAACACCAAGACATTATGAAAGATGATGGTAGGTAGGTATAATGTTTGTCAGTACACAGGATAAAAATGTTTCCTGACGCGGGTCTCAGTCATGATGACTCACAGCTGGGGCTTTTGGTCATTTGATCGAGGCCTTCCGCTGGTTTACCGGTTCACCCCTTAAAAAATTATGGTTAATATTATAACCATTTTTAACTGAAAGGTGATGAGCAATTGCACTAATACTTCAATATTAGACGAGTTAAGTAAACTTTTATAAATACGTAGTTTATGTAATGTTTCACATTTTTACTCTAACAATCTAAGAAAGCAGGAGCCAAGGCCGGGTCACCACTACTTGGAAAAAACCCGGGCAGGGAGAGTACCGGCGAATAAGAAAAAAAAATTATTACTTCATAATGTAACTGAATAAGGTATTTTAAAGTGAGTAGTCTACAAAAAGCACTTTTATTTATACTCATCCAGTTTTGATCTCTTCGATCTAGATGGATTTCTTAATAGATGTTGGCTCTTCAAATTCCTCCCATTTGTATAATTTTTTTAATATTTATTTTTTATAGTGAAATTTATTTCTTACAAACTATTATATTACTTTTATAAAAGCCTATTTAACGCTAGTTCAATGTTAAAATATTAGTAAAAAACGTTCATCATCTTTCATAATAACTTGGTGTTCATATTTAACGGAGAGTGCACAAGAGAAATGTTGACTTGCGTTATGTGCACTGATTCGACACCATGCTAACCCTTCTAGGTAGGGTAGGTGCCTGAGCCCGAGCCTTTAGCTCACATTAGTCATTCCCATTAGCCTCCTTGGGGCGGGGATGGCAGACCAGAGAGGCCTAACTTGTGGCTAGGTCTGGGGACAGTTGGTCCCAAAGATGAGGAGGTACTTGTGCCTCCTCCCATGGGAGACTTAGGTCTCAGACACTCCCTAAAGAGGGAGCCAAGGCCGGGCCACCACTTGGAAAAGGCCCGGGCCGGGAGAATACCGGCTAATCTTTAATAATAATAATGTGCACTGATGAATATATTGAATGTATGTAAGGAGTGTTGAGGTAATGGCTCGAGTTGGGGGTGGAGGTTAACAGACTCAATAACTTGTGGTTGTGACTGTCAGTGGTGCCTGGGTGGATGTTATCTATGTTACATTAATAGGGAAACCTAAACCCATAAGGTCATGCAGTGCCTAGGAATAGGGGTAATCAAAGTTTTGGTCAATCAATGTTACTTCCTTCATCTCGTTATCTAGTATGATCTCTTCTCTATTGGTATTGTTCCATCTCTTACTGTTTTTCTTTTCTTCCCTGTTATTTTCTTTCGCTCTTTTAACTCCGCTTTTTTACCTTTATACACCTCATTTTCCCTTTCGTGTCCTACTTTCCACTCCCTTTACCCTTTAAGTCTTACCCTGCTCTTTATCCTTCATGTCCTACCTCCACTCCTCTTATCCTTTATGTCCTACCTCATCTGTTTATCCTTCATGTCTTATCTCCACTTCATCCTTCATGTCCTACCTTCCACTATGCTTCATGTCCTACCTTCCACTATACTTCATGTCCTACCTTCCACTATGCTTCATGTCCTACCTTCCACTATACTTCATGTCCTACCTTCCACTATACTTCATGTCCTACCTTCCACTATACTTCATGTCCTACCTTGCACTATGCTTCATGTCCTACCTTCCACTATACTTCATGTCCTACCTTCCACTATGCTTCATGTCCTACCTTCCACTATACTTCATGTCCTACCTTCCGCTATGCTTCATGTCCTACCTTCCACTATGTTTCATGTCCTACCTCCCACTATCCTTCATGTCCTACCTTCCACTATGCTTCATGTCCTACCTTCCACTATCCTTCATGTCCAAACCTTCCACTATGCTTCATGTCCTACCTTCCATTATGCTTCATGTCCTACCTTCCACTATCCTTCATGTCCTACCTTCCACTATGCTTCATGTCCTACCTTCCACTATGCTTCATGTCCTACCTTCCACTATCCTTCATGTCCTACCTTCCACTATGCTTCATGTCCTACCTTGCACTATGCTTCATGTCCTACCTTCCACTATCCTTCATGTCCTACCATCCACTATACTTCATGTCCTACCTTCCACTATACTTCATGTCCTACCTTCCACTATGCCTCATGTCCTACCTTCCACTATGCTTCATGTCCTACCTTCCACTATGCTTCATGTCCTACCTTCCACTATGCTTCATGTCCTACCTTCCACTATGCTTCATGTCCTACCTCCCACTATCCTTCATGTCCTACCTTCCACTATACTTCATGTCCTACCTTCCACTATACTTCATGTCCTACCTTCCACTATCCTTCATGTCCTACCTTCCACTATGCCTCATGTCCTACCTTCACTATGCTTCATGTCCTACTTCCATATGCTCAACCTACTTCCACTTGCTTATGTCCTACCCCACTATCTTCATGTCCTACCTTCCACTATACTTCATGGTCCTACCTTCCACTATACTTCATGTCCTACCTTCCACTATCCTTCATGTCCTACCTTCCACTATGCCTCATGTCCTACTTTCCACTATGCTTCATGTCCTACCTCCCACTATCCTTCATGTCCTACCTTCCACTATACTTCATGTCCTACCTTCCACTATCCTTCATGTCCTACCTTCCACTATGCCTCATGTCCTACCTTCCACTATGCTTCATGTCCTACCTTCCACTATGCTTCATGTCCTCCCTCCCACTATCCTTCATGTCCTACCTTCCACTATACTTCATATCTGTTACGCAGTGTGCTACAGTAAAATATTGTATAAGAAATAATGCTCCATAGTTCCGGGACTGAACTTAAACCGAACGCGTAATAACGTCCTACCTCCACTCCCTTTATCCTTCGTGTCTTGCTTTCCACTCTATTTATCCTTCGTGTCCTACCTTCCACTCTAACCCCCATTTCCTGCCACTGTCTGTGTAATTATCAGAATAAATGGCGTAGTTAGGTAAATGGAGGCTGGTGACAGGGTCATTGCTCACTGCCTAGCCCCTTTCTCCGCCTTAACCAAGTTTCTTGCATATAATGATGGAAAGAGTACGGTATACCTAAATATTCTTTGATTTACTTCGCACCCTAATGCTGGTAAAATGCTCCATATTTATGTAATTCGAACTGTAAGTTGTGTTAAAATCTTCATTTGGTGAGAAGTGACATAATTTCAGTATTTTTTACGAGTATTTTGTTTCTATATTTATTTCTAGTTTGACAGTAAACATTACACAAAGGTTTGATATAACGTATACCAGATACTTATATGTTGAAGGGTTGGTGACAAAGATTTGATATATCTAGTACATTCTTTAACCCCGGATGGATTATGTGACAATTCCCTTTACCCTTCAACCAAGGGCTGAAGGTTAACTAAAGCGATACAGAAGTATTTTATGACATTTTTAGTAAGCTATTAACCTAACTTAACCTTGCTAAAATCTGCGAGATGTAAAATAGTTCAGATTATTAGAATACAACCTAAGGAGTGTCACCAGTGGGAAAGTCTAATTCATCAGTGCGACCGTAGACATCTAAAAATAGTAATTATCATATAATTTGGTTTTACTGCAGACTAACAGTGTTGCAATAGGCTTGTTAATTAACGGCTCAGACTTCGATCCAACCTAACATCTCCACATTCTGTGCCATTCAACGGGGCTGGGAGGGGAGGGTACTGGAGAAGGGCTCTTATTCCAAGGAGTTCCCCTTCCTCGGATCAAACCTGATTACCTCCTACTCTCCAAGTTCTCGACGACTTTTATGGGGTAAGCGTTTCTTCCTCCCCCCCAAAAAAAAATTCTCCCTCGTACCACGGGCAGGTTGGGCAGTAACTTAGCGCTAAGACGTACGACCCATATGGGTTCAGCGCTTGTTTTTAAATATATTAATAATAATAATAATAATAAATCATCGTCATCATCTTAGGCTTAGATGATGATGATGATGAAATAATATTTCACCGTCATCTTCATCTAAGTATTACCCCAAAACAAATTTGTATACAGCGAAATTACCCACTAGAGTGACTAGACTAAAAATCATTTGTTTGAAAAAATATAACTTTCATAATTTGCCTCGCCTATTAAATCATTTTTTGTGCAGTTTTATTAATATGTTTATGAGCCTTCATCATCCCCGAGATTTTAATTTTTACCCCATTTGGGGGTAATTTACACCGGTTCTCGACCTTTTAATTTCTAAGCGCTAAATGCCAGTCTAGACTTGTGGGAGAATAGACCATATATGGCACAAGCCGTTGT